CGCCCACAGCCAGAATGGACTGAAGTATTTGATGCGCGAAATCATTGGCAATTTTGGTGGCTACAGCAGACCCGCGACGACGCGCTGAGAGCACGCCGAGACGTAACCGACCAGGGCATGGAAGCGGCAGCAGCAACCGCCACAACTACACCATAACACTTCAGGCCACAGCAGGACCAAACCAGCAGAATATCAGCTGCAAGCCCCACCGCGGTTACCTCCATCGTCCGCGACTTCAAGGGGCCGACCCGCGCCGGGAGGGGCCCAGTCAGAAAGGTTACCAGAATCGAAGTTGGCAGACCATGGGCGCGCGCCCGAGTCGGGCTGCTAGAATCGAGTATTCCACTGGTTGCGACAGATACGCGCGACTTCCGCGTGATCTCGAGTGGCCGCGACAATTTCAGTTTGGGCTGCTCGCCCCTAGTGAACCCCGACATCCCGCGCGCGGAAACCGACGGCAGCAAGCGCCACCTGCGTCTCAACCCCTCCGAGGTTTTGCACCTGGGCCCCAGGCTCTTCGTCGCGCGCTGCGCGCCACAAGGCCTCGCGAGGGCCGCGGCAGAGGCCCATGCCGCTCATGGGCATTTCGGGCGAAGAAATGACATGCACGTATTGGGCCAACATCAGCAACATCACCCGCGAGTTCGGAGTCGACCTCAGCATGATCGGCGCCAAGGCCACAACTGGGGAGAACGTCGCCGACGCGATAGGCGACTACGGAGGAATATCCGATGAATCGAGGCTGGTGCACGGTGCGCGCTTCCGCGGGTTTTCCATGGCACTCCACGTGGCCGCCGTCAGCGCTGCTACGGAGTGCAATGAACCGACGTGCTCCTGCACCAGAAGTGGTAAGCCAAACGCATCGATTACCTCGTCATCCCAACCGCCAACCTTAATACGGTAACGGATACAGCAGTCACCGACGGCATGGACATGGTTCAGGAGGACGAACGCCTCCCAGTCGTGACGCGCCAGAAGTATTTTACTTCGCGCACTAATCGCGCAGCCCCACGCTTGGACCCACAAAAGAGAAACGCCACGACCCAGCATAATATATATTCTGCCAGCAGCTCAACAACAATATATAGAGAACCTTGGGGCTACGACATCAACGACCGCGCTCGCGACCCGAAGGAAAGCGTCAGAGAGGCAGCTGAAACGGCCTGCAAGACGGACCCAATTCGAATGCGAATGCCGTGCACCACCGGCACGATTCTCGCGTTGATCAGGGCAAGGAGGGCATGCCGACGACCGCGGAGAGAATGGAAAGACGCACCACAGCCAAAGCAAGCACGCACTCGCACAGCCAAGCTCGCATTCCAGCTCATGGAAGCGATCAGGCCGACAACCACAACATACTTCGCAATGGAAGACCCCGCCACGCTCGCCAACTCCGCGCAGGCCAGCACACGAGTTGCGCGACACTGCGCTGAGCACGAAGAACAGCAGCTAGCCGCCAAGGCTTTTCTTTTCCAATCCAAACAAGAGCTGACAGTAAGGATGCGAGCTGACACGGGCGCGCACCTCGACAGCTACGCGGAGAACGTGCGCAACGACAACGACCTCAACGACAGCGAAGCCGAATGGGAGGGCGTCAAGCGCCTACTACGGTACGGCGGCGTTCCGTCCCGGATGATCATGGGGCACAGGTACAACGTCGACGCCATTGGGGAACCGATCGCATGCGAGCAGGCCCAAGCGCAGGCGGAGTTGGATCACCTCGCCACAGCGGACCACGCCAATATTCGGGAACCCGAGGATATCGCAAGCACTTAAAACAGTAACGTTATGGACGTCATCAACGCAAGAACCAATAAGGACAACCCAATCGAGAACAGCATCACCAGGACCGTGCTGAAGACGAGCTTCCACGTTGCTAGACCACACCAGCAAGGGGGACCGGGCAACATCGCAGACGACTTGCGCCGCGCAGCCAGCGACGAGATGGCCCGCTTGTGCCGCCAATTGCCTGTCAAGCGCAATTTCGCCACGGCGGAGCCATTATCCCACAAGGGAGGATGACAAGCATCATGTGCCAAGTGCCCGACGAGCTGCAAGCAGCGCAGAAACCGACGAATGATCCCCGACCGAAAAGAAGCACCGACTTCATTACCCCCGCGACCTTTACCTACATCAATATCACGAAGCACCAATGAAGATGCGGAGGCCTCCTCTTCCTGGGCCTCAAGGGCGCCTTCTACACAGTTTTTCTCGACTTCCTCCACAATCTGCCGAGAGAAGAGGACGAACGACGAGAACTACTGGATAGCGTGAACATACCACCTGTGCCACAACCATTCCTGGAGCAAGCGCATCAAGGAACACTTCAAATCGATATCAGGATCGACGACAAGCACCTCGTAGCGCTACTCCGAGGCGCCCACGCTGACTTGTGGGCGACCCCGAGGGGATCGACGCGCATCGTCCAACCACGTACAGATACGAGTCCAGGCGTCCCAATGCCCGACTTTTCCGTCAACGTCGGTGTCGCGAGGGTTCCCGTGGCCATTTCCACCGGCATGATCGACCAGGACATCCAACGCGACATCACCTGCGACGACAACGAACTACCCACCTTCGCGGGGGGGCGCCCGCCAATTGGAGGACACGACGGCGGATCGTCACTCACGGACGCCTCCTTCGTGGACGGCCTCACAGTTTACCTCGCAACAGCTCCGCAGGAGGCTACGCCAACCGCAGCACCTTGCTCCAGATGGTGGAATCAAGAGTACGCGGGCACGGAATGCGACTCAGCATGAAAAATACAAACATCATGCTGGTATTTTTCGGAAGCGGGAAGGAGGAGGAGGAGCGGGGAGGAGGAGGAGGAGGAGGAGGAGGAGGAGGAGGACGCGGAGGCGGTGGCTGAGGTGGAAGCGTAGGAGGAGGAGGAGCGGGGAGGAGGAGGAGGAGGAGAAGGAGGACGGGGAGGCGGTGGCTGAGGTGGAAGCGTAGGAGGGGGAGGAGGAGGGCGACGAAGGCGCGCATGGCCATGGAGGGGGCGACATGCATGCCGAGCACCTACGGCGACCAGATCGTCGAGCCCATTGGCTCCCGAATTGCATTTGGTAGAGTTGTCACTTCGTCGGCAACAATCCTCCTCCTCCTCCTCCTCCTCCCTCCTCCCTCCTCCTCCTCCTCCTCTCCTCCTCCTCCTCCTCCTCCTCCTCCTCCTCCTCCTCCTTGGGACCAGGGATCAAGAAAAGGATCAGCGAGTCCATGAACAGCAAAGGCCCACTACGGAGGCAGATCTATAGAAGAAAGAACATACCAATCGAGAGGAATGCCCCCATACAGTGATTCCCCAGTGATATCTGAGCTGAACTACAACGACCACGTCTGGAGCAACCTCACGGAAACCGACAACAGGAATTACGCAGGACACCGGCAAGTAACGGGCCACAACGCGATTGACACCAGCGCCACACAAGCATCCAGCCTTGAGTTATTGACGACCGCCAGCCGCCTGCCTCCGACAGTGGCAAAACGCGCGCACAGACTAGGTTACTCACCGCGACTCCTCCTACACGGACCCACAATACCCGTGAGGCTCAACAAACAAGACTTCCACAACGAGGCTAGCTGGGTCAACGAGATCAAATATGACACTCGATGTATGTACAGCTACCTGGAAGACACGGAGCACCTAAGCCAATCAACCGACATACACGAAGTACTTCAAGCAGCAAGAACCGACCCAACGAGATTCAAACCCGCCGTCGAGACAGCGGCCGCATGATGTTTACGGTGGCAAGCAAACCAAGCACACCAAGAGCAGTGGCTCCGCGCCCTCGAACCATACCGCAATACTGACGACATGCCTGCACTTCCGACCATGCCACCACCGCCACCTCAGCCAAGTTACATGTGCTATCAGTGCAGAGTGGCCTTCTACACAAAAAAACGCCTACGGCGCACACCTGGGAAAACACCACAAGAACGGCACACGCCCACATGATAGTGATGATGCTGATGATGCTGATGATGATGATGATGATGATGATGATGATGATGCTGACGGTGGGAGGAGGATGAGGAGGAAGAGGAGGAGGAGGAAGAGGAAGAGGAGGAGGAGGAGGAGGAGGAGGAGGAGGAGGAGGAGGGTGTGGAGGAGGAGGATTCTGATGACGTTGGTAAGCATGCTGATGATGAGGATGATGATGATGATGATGATGATGTTGGTGATGATGAGGATGATGATGCTGATGATGATGATGATAAAGGCGTCGACGAGGTGATGGCGTTGACGAGGATGACGATGACGATGACGATGACGACGGAGATGAATATTCTGATGATTATGACGCTGGTAATCATGATGATGCTGATGCTGATGCTGATGCTGATCATGATGCTGCTGATGATGATGATGATGATGATGATGATGATGATGATGATGATGTCGCTGAAGATGATCATGATCATGACGACGATGACGATGATGCTGCTGCTGCTGATGATGATGATGATGATTATGAAAATATGCTGGTACTGATGATGCTGATGTTTATGGTGATGATGCCGACAACGATGACGATCACGATGATGGTGGTGATGCTGCTGATTATGCTGATGTTGGTAATGTTGATCGTGGTGATGGCGATGACGATAGTGGTGGTGATGTGATGGTGATTGTGATGGCGATGGAAATGATGATGGTGATGATGATGACGAGGATGTAAGAGAGATGATACGATGAGAGTAACAGGAAGAGACGAGGGAGGAAAGGAATAATTCTCGGAGGCGAAAGGAGTAGGCGAGAGAAGAAGAAGAAGAAGGAGCAGGAGGAGGAGCAGGAGCAGAAGGAGCAGGAGGAGGAGGAGGGGGAGGAGGAAGAGGAGGAGGCGAGAGGAGGAGGCGACAGGAGGAGGAAGAAGAGGAGGAGCAGGAGGAGGAGGAGGAGGAGGAGGAGGAGGAGGAGGAGGAGGAGGGCGCAGCGACGAAGGCAGGGGGAGAGGCGGAGCGGGGCGACAGGCACGAGGCCCGCGGCTCCCCTTGAGGCTACCGCCCCGCGGTGGTCGCCCCGGGCGGCGGCGCACGCGGGCGCCGGGCCGGCTTCGACGTGAGGCACTCCAGCACCTGGGAGCCGATTTCGCTGGGGGGTTCGGCGTTCCAGAGGGGGGAGGGGGGGGAGGAGGGAGGAGGAGGAGCGGGAGGAGGAGGAGGAGGAGGACGACGAGGAGGAGAGAGGAGGAGGAGGAGGAGGAGGAGGAGGAGGAGGACGACGAGGAGGAAGAGGAGGAGGAGGAGGAGGAGGAGGAGGAGGAGGAGTGAGGAGGAGAAGGAGAAGGAGGAGGGGGACGACGAGGAGGAGTTCGAGGAGGACGAGGAGGAGGAGGAGGAGGAGGAGGAGGAGGAGGACGAGGTGGACGAGGAGGTCGGCGCTCCAGAGGGGGGCGCGTCCTCCTCCTCGTCATCACCATCACCAGCATCGAAGAACAACAAGCGGCACAAACACAAACTTTTGGCACAGATCCAAGAAGTCCGCGCGGGCCTCCAATTGTTTATGTTTGTGCCGCTTTTCCCTTCCTCCGACCATCACCACCCCCTATCAGTATCCTCACCGACACCAGCACCATCATCATTGCGTCCTCCTCCTCGTCCCTCGCGTCGTCCTCGTTGCGTCTCGCTTCCTCGCCCTCGCACCCGGTCCCCAGACCTCCTTCCGCTTCCCCTCCCCGCCTCACCTTTTTCCAATCCGTCTTCCACCGCTCTGCCTCAATTTCCTCTCGCCTCCATCCTCATCCGTCCTCCATCCAGGAGGGCCTCTTCTTCTCCTCCGCTTGTCCTCCTCTCTAGATCATCATCCCCCCCACCAGCGTTAGAGTGGACGAGCTCTTCATCTCGATGCTTTACCTTCCTCCTCCCTCCTCCTTGTGTTGTGTTCTTCGTTTTTTGTGTTTCTCTCTCTCTCTCTCTCTTTCTATTATATATATATATGTCTGCATGTAGATGAGACGTCTCTCTCATTCTCTCTCAGTCTCTCCCTCTCTCTCGCTGTATCTCCCTCTCTCTCTCTCTCTCTCTCTTTGCGTATGTGCATTACATACTAGAACAACACGCGCGCTTCGCGCGCTTATGTTCTAGCCAGGGCAAGGCCAGCGCCACATCAATCAGCGGCTGGGTACGCACGCCTTCCCACCACGATCACCACATGGGGGCACCTGCGCTATTGTGGTCATACTTATCTGATCAGCGTCTCACCGCCTGCTTCGGCACACCCTTCACACGGATCATGCCCTCAGGGAGTCCCACCTACGGTCCTTCATCCATCCCGTCACATTCCTCACACGGGACGTGCCCCACAGAGAGCTCCACCTACGGCCCCATTGCAAAGCGGCGCACCCCTCACGCGGATAGTGCTGCCCCGCGGGAAACTTCACTCAAACGGAAGGTTCGCATAGCGTCGCCCCACTCACGTCGGCGCACTTCTCACAAGGATCGTGCCTCGCAGGGAGTTCGCATCCCGCCCCCCCCCGCCTACTTCGGCACACCTCTCACACGGATCGTGCACTGCAGGGAGTTCGCATCCCCGCCCCTTTTCCCCCCACCCCCGCCTACTTCAGCACACCTCTCACACGAATCGTGCCCCACAGGGTGCTTCACCGACGGCCCCAGAGACAAGGTTTGCATAGCGCCCCCGCCCCCCGCCCTTTGCGGCACTTCCCTCACACGGAACGTGACTAACGGGGAGCACCACCGACAGCTCCAGAGACAATGTTTGCAAATCGTCCCTCCGCCCATGTCGGCACACTGTTCACGCGAATTGCGCCCTGGAGCGAGCTCCACCTACGGCACCCATGGGCCACTTCGCACGGCGCCCCCCCGCCGGTTTTGGCACACGCCTCACACGGGCCGTGCCCCACAAGGAGCTCCGCTTGCAGCCGCAGTGAGCGGGTTTGCGCGAGGGCGCCTGGATCATTCGGCGCCCCCTTCACGCGGATCGTACCCCACACGGAGTTCAGCGCGCTTGTGCGAGGAGGAGGAGGAGGAGGAGGAGGAGGAGGAGGAGGAGGAGGAGGAGGAGGAGGAGGAGGAGGAGGAGGAGGGGGAGGGGGAGGGGAGGGGGAGGGGGGGGGGAGGGGGAGGGACGCGTTCTCCGGAAGCAGCCCGCTATGAGCTCAAGCCCGTGGCGCGCAACATAAGGAGAGAGGGCCGCGCCCCTGTGATACGCGTGACTGCATGGGGATGGGTCAGTCGCCGGGACGATTGTTTGCTGATCTATGGCCTCTGGTCTATACTGCCACCGTGAGTGAGTTGTGGGCCAGAGGCTTTTTTGTGTACCTGTCACGAGGGGCCTCTTGGCATGCTTCTCGGGCGCCTCGTGGAGCAGACTCTGAAGCTCTTCTTGGGGCCTCTCGGGGGCCGTTTGGAGGTCTCTTTGAGGACCATTGAGGGCTTCTTGGGGGCCTACTGGCGGCCTCGGGAGTCCACTTGTGGCGGAAGGCTCGACATGTGAGCTCGGGTTCCTCCTCTTGGGCCTCTTTTGGGCCCCTCTTGGGCCATCTTGGACACCTCTTGGTCCGTCTTGGGGCTCTCTGGGCCGTCTTGGGGCCCTCCTGGGGGCTTCGTGGACCGTCTTGGGGCGATCTCGGGGGGCCTCTGTCCGTCTTGGGCGCCGTGAAGCTCCAAAAGCGAACCTGCTAAAAACATACGTTTTCCTGCAGGACCATTGCAACGTATTCGGGCCATGTGGGGGCGCTCTTGGGAAGCATCTTGAAGTATTCTTAGGGTCTCTTGGGCCGTCTGAAGGCCATCTCGGGGCATCTCGGGCCCTATTGTGCCGATCTGGTCGCTTGCGCCGCTCTGGTCGCTTGGGCGCCGCTCTGGTTGCTTATCCGTGCTCCCCGGAGGGTGTTGAGGGCGGCCAGGGCGGCCTGGGGGAGGTTCGGGAGGCCTGGGGGAGGTACCCCGACACCTTGCGTGTGTTATAGCTATGTGTAGGTAGATGTGTTTATACATATGTGTACCTATATGTGTGTATGAATGTTTGTGTGTATGCATGTGTATAGATAAGACGTGTATGGTTTACGAGCTTGGTTACCACACCTTGGGATTAAAGGGCCGAGGGAGTACTCGCAGTTTGGGTTGCCACGCCTTGCGATGGATGTGCGTGAGGGGTGGCACCGAATTTCAGAAATGTGGCAAATCCCTTGTGTTTTTGGACCCTGACCCCGCGGATCTGCGTGAGGGGTGGCACCGAATTTCAGAAATGTGGCAAATCCCCTGTGTTTTTGGACCCTGACCCCGCGGATCTGCGTGAGGGGTGGCACCGAATTTCAGAAATGTGGCAAATCCCTGTGTTTTTGGACCCTGACCCCGCGGATCTGCGTGAGGGGTGGCACCGAATTTCAGAAATGTGGCAAATCCCTGTGTTTTTGGACCCTGACCCCGCGGATCTGCGTGAGGGGTGGCACCGAATTTCAGAAATTTGGCAAATCCCTTGTGTTTTTGGACCCTGACCCCGCGGATCTGCGTGAGGGGTGTCGATTTTGAGCCCCCCTCAGCAATTCAGGCAACGCGCCCAGGTGGTGCTAAAAATCTGGTTTGGGCCTCCCTCCCCTCGCGCGGTCAATCAACTAGTGACAGTAAACAGCAAGAAGCAGAACTGTAACACTGGAAACTACAAACTACAACTGGTACAGGAAACTGCGAATCACGGGCCTACAGCCTGGTGGCCCCACAAAGGGGGCCGGCGGATATAGGTTTTGCATGTAACTGCGCATGCATATACATAATATATCTATAGTCATACTCACGTACTGTGTATGTACATGTGCACACAGACAGGTGCACGTACATACCATACCTTCCGCAATTGCGGATAGAAGTGAGGGGGCGGCGGGCGGTCGTTGGTAATCTGCGAGGCTTAAACCTAAATCTAGACCCCCCGCAGGCGTCAATCTTTCGTCATTGCAATCTGGGTGGGTCGCTGGTGGATCGTCGCGGGCGGCTCGCGGGTGGGTCGTGGGTGGGTCGCGGGTGGATCGCGGGCGGGTTGCGGGCGAGGGCGACGACAGCAAGACAACATAGATATCCGTATCCCCCGGATAATACAGGATACCCCAGTTTAACCCCTTGTATAATGATTAACCCCGGCTCAGACAGTTTTGGTCAGCGGTGGGGAGCGGCGCCGGGGGAAGTACCAATCGTAGTTGGCATCTTGGTATCGTAGGGGTAAGATTATGATCAGCATCGTCATCAACGTTGTATGGCTGAATCATACTAGTTCGCAGGTTCCGCGCTCCGCCCACCCCTGCGACTACTACTACAACTGCTACTTCTACTGCTGCTACTACTACTACTTACTACTACGACTACTACGACTACTACTACTACTACTACTACTACTACTACTACTACTATTACTACTACTACTACTACTACTACTACGACTACTACGACTACTACGACTACTACGACTACTACTACTACTACTACTACTACTACTACTGCCTACTACTTACTACTTACTACTCACTACTCACTACTTACTACTACTGCTACAACCATCACTACAACTAGAACAGCAACTACTACGACCAATATTACTACTACTACTACTACTACTACTACTACTACTACTACTACTACTACTACTACTACTACTACTACTATTGCTGCTGCGGCTGCTACTACTACTACTACTACTACTACTACTACTACTACTACTACTACTACTGCATCACACACAGTGCAGCCGTACACCGTACACGTGTACATCCGAGTTGCCGGGACAAATTGTTTATTATCCCCCAGAACCCCGAACTTCATTAACCCCGGGGGATTTACATCGGGGGCACAGGGTTTACAGGAACCCGCATCGCGGATCCCCACGTCAGCCACACATCCAAGGACAGTGTAAGACCGTTCGGCCCCTCACCGTTCGGCCCCTCACCTTCATCGGTCTCTCTCTCTCTCTCTCTCTCTCTTCTTTCTTGTTGTTGTAGTTGTTGTGTTTTCCTCCCTCTCTCTCTCTCTCTCTCTCTCCTTCCCTCCGAGGTAAGTGTAAAATAACTGTATACGCGTATATCACCCTCTACACACATCATTCATTGTGTTCACTACTCTCTGCTCAAGGCTCAAGGGGCTTACGTCATTCCGCCGACCCCCAGAAGAGGTGGGGAGCTCACGGGTGAAATGTCGTGGGTTTCTTGGGCACTATTTGGGGACTCCTGTGGGCGTCTTGGGAGCTGTTTTGGGGCCTGGGTTCAGCCTCTCGGAGGTAGTTGTGAAACGTTGGGGCCTCTTCGGGGCCTTTTGGGGCTTGTTGGGGGCCTCTTTTGGGCTGCTTGGAGGCTTCTGGGGGCCTTTGGGGACCTTTTGGGGCGGAAGGGTGGGTTTTTCGGTTTCTGTTCTCCCTCGTTGCCTCTCTTCGGGCCTCCTTGGGACGATCTTTAGCCGCCTTGGACGTCTCTTTTGGGTTGTCCTGGGGCCCCCGTCGGGGCCTCTTGGGCAGTTTTGGGGCGGTCGACGGGGCCTTCGTTCTCTGTGTGCAACACTTTCTCGGTAAGGGCGGCGGGGACGGAGGAAGTCTTGAAATCTGTGTTTTGCTTGCTTTTCCGTGTGTGTTTTTGTTGTTTCAGCCTTGGGTCTCTGGTTTCTTTGGTTTTCGTTGGTTGTTCAAAACGGTTTTTTTGGGGGTTCAGTGCCCAACCTCTTCTTCCTCCAACCCTCCTCCTTCTCCTCCTGTCTCCTTCTCGTGGAGGGACGTCCTTTTGTGCTGGAGGAATCGATCTGCTTTCAAATGGTTTCCTTCAGAAAGCAGCCCATGTGTAAGGCTTTTCAGAACGAGATCCCTTTCAGGCTGTCACGCTCCTGCAGGAGGAGGAGGGGGGACGAGAAGGGGATGAGAGAGAGAGAGATAGAGAACGAAGAAGAGTGGAGGAGGATGAGGAGGAGGAGATATGTGATGCATGGAAGAATACTATGTGTGATTATGTTTGGGGCTACCATAAGTCTATACACATATACCCAAATTATGGATATACCGATGCCTCGATATCCACATACATGTATAATGTTTTATGTTCCGAACTTTACACACATATGTATACACTTAGGTGCGTACATCATACAAGTCGATCTACACATCTCTCTCTCTCTCTCTGTCTACCTCTTTGTCGGTCTCTCATCTACATCTATATATACATATATGTATATAGATACATATCCCTGTTCTCCCTGTCTCTCTATATACATATCTCCCTACTTCGCTCTTTCTCTAATTCTCTCTCTCTCTGTATCTCTGTCTCTGTCTTTATGCATGTTGTTTGACCCTCTCTCCCCACACCTATATATACATATGTATGTATGCATGCACATATAGAGAGAGATGTATCCGTCACTTCTTCCCTCTTCAGTCTCTGCCCTCCGTCCCTCCCCCACTCCTATCCCCCCCCGGATTCATGTCCCAGCGTAAGGATCACCGACGGCACTGCCCTGGAACGCCGCGCCCCCCCGGCAAAATCGGCTCTCGGAGCACCCTGGTCTTCCGCCGTGGAGGCCTGAGCGCGCTCCAGCGGGGCCCGTGACCTCGTTCGCGGCTCCCCTCGCGCCTCGGCCCCGCCTCTCCTCTCTTCGAAGAGGAACAAAAACGATAGAAACATAAACCTTTGGCGCTCCGCACGGATCTCTTGGCTCCGCGCTGGGCCCCCGCGGCGGCGCCGCCCCAGGCGCGCTCGCGCCAGGGAGGGGGGGTCCAGCGCAAACCCAAGCAATCCGCGCGGAGCGCCAAAAGGTTCTGCCTGTGCCGTTTCTGCTTCCTCGATCTTCCTCCTGGAGGTCAGGGGGGCGGCGGGGGAGGACCCCAAGAGATCCTGGCGTCGCGATCGACCCAGCGCGGCTCCACGAAACCCGCGCGGAGCGCCAAAAGTTTATGTTTATATCGCTTGTGCTTCCTCGATCCTCCTCCTGGAGGTCAGGGGGGGCGGCGGGGGAGGACCCCGAGAGATCCTGGCGTCGCGATCGACCCAGCGCGGATCCACGAAACCCGCGCGGAGCGCCAAGAGTTTATGTTCATATCGCTTTTGCTTCCTCGATCCTCCTCCTGGAGGTCAGGGGAGGCGGCGGGGGAGGACCCCAAGAGATCCTGGCGTCGCGATCGACCCAGCGCGGATCCACGAAACCTGCGCGGAGCGCCAAGAGTTTATGTCTACATCGCTTTTGCTTCCTCGATCCCCCTCCTGGAGGTCAGGGGGGGCGGCGGGGGAGGACCCCGAGAGATCCCGGCGTCGCGATCCTCCCCAGCCGGGCGATGTGGCTCCGTGTCGGGCCGCGGGGCTTTCGCAGATCGACCCGGCTCGACTACGCAGAGCGACCGGTGTCGAAGGCTCCTGGTGATGCCTGTCCGCGATGCTGCGGTGTTTCGGGAGCGCCTTGACCTCAGGGGAGATCACCACCCACCAAACAACCCCCAACCCAACCCGAAGGCTCAGATTTGCCCTCGATTTCCAGTGGGGGGGGGGGTCGGGAAACACAGAAAAAGCACGTGTGTAAGCCTTACCCCCCCCCCCAACCCGAAATTCGGGTCTTCGGGTTGGTTTGGGGTGGTCTGGTAGGTAGTCAGGAGAAGGCTGAAGAGTGAAGCACGGTATGGGTAGAAGGCTCGCGGGGAGGCACGGCAAGAAAGTGTGATGGACCGAGGGAGACGCCCTGGGGAGGCCAGGAGGCGTTTCGTCGCAGCGCGGCAGAAGCAATCCGCACGCGCGTTCCAGTAGTAGGAGAGAAAGGGCGGAAGGCGGCCGCGGGGGGCTGAAAGAGGGGAGGCACTCACAGCGCGTGGAGCATCGGCAGGAGTGGCCGGGGCGGCCGGCCGCTGCTGAGGCGTCCTGGCAGTGGACGTGGATTGGCATCGCGCCCGCATCCAGGGGCTGAGGCAACGGCTGAAGATCGAGGAGCAAGCAACAGCACAGACATAAACTCATCGGAGGCCCGCGCGGAGTCCTCGGAGCGGCGCTGGCCCTCCCCCCCTCCCGGCTCGCAGAGCGCGCCAGGGGCGGCGCCGGAGCGCCTCCGTGGGGGCCCAGCGCCAGTCCAAGAAGTCTGCGCGGGCCTCCGAAAGCTGATGTTTCTGCCATGTGTCTGTGCATACATACATACATGCATACATGCATGCATGCATACATGCATACATGCATACACACATGCATGCATACATACACACATACATACATACATACATACATACATACATACATACATACATACATACATACATACATACATACATACATACATGCATACATACATACATACATACATACATCCATCCATCCATACATACATACATACATACATGCATACATACATGCATGCACAGTTACATCTATACACATGTATTGCTCTTGGTTGCGAGCGATATTCGCATGGATTGCTCCTCGAGGAGGCACGGTGTAGGTGGAGGGCTGGAAGGAGGAGGGGCAGCACGAGATGGGGAACTTGGTGGACCGAGAAGGACGGCAGGGGGAGGGGGGCGCCGGGCATAGGATCATTAATTCTGGAAGGGGGGCAGTCCTCCCTCTCTCCCTCCCCACCTCCTCCTCCCCCTCCCCAGGCCCTCCTTCTCCTCCATATCCACTGCAGCTTGGAGTTTCGGGCTCCCTCCCCCAGAAGCCCGAGGCGCACTGGATATGGATAAGAATCTAGTCCCCCGAGGCTCGATTTTCATTCAGATCCAGCGTGCCCCGGCCTTGTGGCGCCTCTGCCAAGAAACTCCATAAATCTTGCCCGCACCTTCGTTTCCGCCTCCTCCCATAGCCATCGCCTGACTGACAGGCAGCCAGCAGCCACTGGCTCCTGGTCGCTCGGCGGCCAGCGACGCCAGCAACGCGGCCTCCAGCCTCTCCGTCCTTCCGTGTTTTCCCTGCTTCCATCTGCCCCCCTTCCTCCATCCTACTGCTTAGTTTTCTCCTTCTCGTCGTGCCCCCTCCCTCCTCCCCCCTCCTTCGCCCTCCCGCATCCCTCGTCAATCCTGCTGCTGCGCCTCATCCGTCTCGTCTTCTCTTGTCTGCCGCTCCGCCTCCACATCCGCCTCTGCTGCCTCCGCCTGTTCTCCCCCTCCTCCGTTATCCTTTTTATCCCTTCTCATACGCCCCCCATCGCCCGCCATCCTCCCTAGCTCCATCCTCCCCTTCCCCTCCTCATCCTCCCCGCTTCATCCCAGCCCCCGCCACCGCCCCCTCCCCACTCTCCCTCGTCCTATTTCCTTCCTTCTTCCTCCTCCTCCTCCTCCTCCTCCTCCTCCTCCTCCCTCTTCCCGCCTCCCTCCCCTCTCCCCTCCATCTTCTCGTGCCGCCCCTGGACCCCTGGTCTGCAAGGGGGCGACGGGCTCCCAGGGTCTTCTGGCGACCAGCGCTGCCTGCAGGGCGCCCGTTGAGGAGGAGGAGGAGAAGGAGGAGGAGGAGGAGGAGGCGGAGGAGGAAGAGGAGGAGGAGGAGGAGGAGGAGGAGGAGGGGGAGGAGGAGGAGGAGGAGGAGGAAGAGGAGGAGGAGGAGGAGGGAAGGAGGACCAGTGCACACCCAAGACGTGCCAGCGATGCTGCAATGAAGCCTCCCCAAGTTCCCCCCTGTCATAGGCCACTACAAGACTTTGTGTTCTTGCGGGGCGTGGCATGAGAGGGCAAAAGCCGAAAGACACACATCGTTTTGCACTGCGAAACAATCCCTGGAACTCCAGCGCTGCGGATCAAGGTGTCTGTTGCGTCCTGACGTTCCTAAACCGTACCAGGGTACCATTCTTAGGACCTCAGCACCGCGAATCCTCGTGGCGGTTCCGCCCTGTCACCTTGGATCCGTGCAAGAACGCCTTTCCAGGGCATTCAACCATGCGAACCCACGGAACTGCTGTACAATCTCGAGACACGTGTGCGCAGCACCAAGTTTTGAAAACGGCCCGCCCTGCATCCGTGAAGCTGCTGCACAGTTCTAAACATAGCGTGCGCGGTGCTCAGGCGAGAACCACATTTTGAAAATGGCCAGCCATCCACCCGCGAACCGTTGCAACCTTGTTGGAACACATGTTCGCAGTGCTAAGGAAAGAACCACAGTTTGAACAGCTCGCGCTCACCACTGATGCCTTTTATAGGTTCTCTCCTCTTCCTCCTCCAGACATTTCTCCTGGCCCACCTCCTCCAGCTCCAGCGTCCCCCCGCCGTCCTCCTCCTCATGCCCCTCCCTCCCTACCCCCCTCCCTCCTCCTCCCCCTCCTTTTCCTCCTCTTCCTCCTCATCCTCCTCCTCCCCCTCCTCCTCATCCTCTCATCGTCCTCCTCCTCCTCCGCCTCCTCCTCCTCCCTGTGGCCTCATTCCTCCTCCTCCTCCTGCTCCTCCTCCTCATCATTATCCTCCTCCTCCTCCTCCTCCTCCTCCTCCCTGCGGCTTCGTTCCTCCTCCTCCTCCCTCTCCTCCTCCTCCTCGTCGTCGTCCTCATCCTCCTCCTACTCCTCCTCCTTCGATCCCTCCCTCCCTCCTCCTCCCTGCCCCCCCCATCCGCCGCAGGCCCTCTGCGGCCAGGGCGAGTCCGCCGAGCTCGCGAAGCGGACGCTGCAGTCGGTTCGCCGCCCGTCTTGGGCCCAAACGACGACGACGACGACGACGACGACGACGACGACGACGACGACGACGACGACGATGACGACGGCGACGGCGACGGCGACGGCGACGGCGACGGCGACGGCGACGGCGACCACCGCTGGCGGCCGTGGCGGCCGCCCGCTGGCCCGCGGCAGCTCCCCCTCCCTCCCCGCCTCCAGCGCCGAGGAGGAGGAGGAGGAGGAGGAGGAGGAGGAGGAGGAGAAGGAGGAGGAGGAGGAGGAGGAGGAGTCGCCGCCCGCCTTGGGCCCCACGCCCCGCCCCCCCTCCCTGCCGCCAGCGCCCTCACTCAGGGAGGATCCGTCGAGGGAGCGACGGGCAACAATGAGAGCAAGGAGGGGGAGGGCCTGAGGAAGGGGGGGGATCAGGGCGGGGAGGGATAGGGGGAGGCGGTGCGGGAGGACCCCCCCTTTCCAACACTCATTTGATCATATGTCCTGCGCCCTCATCCCCCCACCGCCCATACCGTTCCTCACGATGTCTCCTCCTCCCTGAGGAACAAAGCTTGGCATAAACATAAACGTTCTGAGGTGTTCACTGGTTTCTTGGATCGGCACTGGACCCCCCTTCCTTGCGCGCGGAGCGCGCCAGGGGCCGCCGAAGGCGCCCCGGGAGGCTCCAGCGCCGATCCAAGAAATCCGCGCGACCCTCCGAAGAGTTGATGCTCATGCCGCGGGTTGTTCCTCAAGTTTCCCTGCCCTCCCCCCCTTCGCCTCAAAGCCTCCGCTTCCCTCTCGCGTTCTCTGACCTCTTTCTCCCCCCGCCACGGAGGGAAGACGAGGCACACACACAGCGAAACACAGCGGGCAGCGAGGTTGAGCCGAGAGGTTCCCTGGGAGGGAGTGGGCGGCCCTGGAGAGGCCTCTTGGGGCCATATCTGGGACCTGCGTGGGAGGCGAGGTGGAGGAGGAAGAGGAGGAGGGAGGGAGCAGGCGCGAGGCGAAGGAGGAGGAGGAGGAGGAGGAGGAGGAGGAGGATTCTAGCAGAGGATTCTACAAGAGGGGCTCCGCCCCGAGTGACAGCCGAGAGACCTACCGCGAGAGCTGACGCGAACAAGATACATCAAAGGCGCCCTCGGATGAGAACATTTGGGCCGCACTCCCTCGAGTGCGCCCTCACCGAGCTGCGCGGCGCCACTGGGGGCGGCCACGCGAGCCATCCACCTCTGGCCGTGCCGCCCGCCAACACGGGCAGACCACCCTAGCTACGCCCTCCCTGCAGGGCTGCCTCCCGCTTCGCACCCCTGCAGCTTCGCGGGGACCCACTCCGCGGGCTCGCCGCCGAGCCCCGCCGGAAGGATCGGCACCTGGGGCCGCCACCAGGAGCGCCTCCGCCTCCTTCGGCTGGAGCTCGAGCTTTGTACACCCATTGGCTGCCGCACCCCCAGAGCAGCGCAGAGCAGGCCCTCCGTCGCGCCGGCGACCGTGGCCGATTCCATCTCCTTCACCTCTCCGTTGTCCTTGTAGTCTGGGGCGTACTCATTGCTGATTTCTTATCATTCGACAGTTCTCTGATTTTCTGGGGGGGCCAGATCCTCTCATTTCTAATTGTTCTAACCTGGGCCTCTTCCTGGCCACTAGGGGGCCTGGAACAATTAGAAACGAGCACAATTGGAAATGAGCACGATTAGAAATGAACGACGTGTACTTGATGTCCTCCATCAGCTCCCCCATCTTGTCGGAGTCGTAGTTGGTCCCCCCTTGCGGAGCCACGTGTTCTCCAGGGCCAGCACGTCTCCGTCGCTATTGGCCGCGACCCACTCCTTCACCTCCTCGGTGGCCTTGCAGTCTGGGGTGCACTTGATATCCTTCTTCATCAGCACCCCTTTGTTCTCGGAGTCGTTCGTGGTCTTCTCCTTGTGGAACCGAGTGGTCTACAGGACCAGCACGTATCCGTCGCTCATGGCCGGCACCAGCTCCTTCGCCCCCTCGGTGACCTTTTGGTCTGGGGCGCACTTGAAATCATAATTTTCACGCTGATGCTCTGCTTCACCAGGTTCCGAAGCACCGCGCCGAACTCGGCGCGCTCCATGACCTCCGCCCCCTTTTCCTGGCAGGCGTGCCTCTGCTTGAGGTCGATCTCCTCCGTCTTGCCCTCGAAGAGCCTCCCGATCTCCAACATCTTACCCTCCTCGACCTTCTCGAAGGGGCCCTTCGCCAGCAACTCTCGCCCCCTCGGGCTGCTCGGCGCCACCTGCCCGCCGCTGGCCGCGCCGCATGCGCTTGGCCTCGGCGCACGAAGCGGGGAGCGCCTCGACGCCCTCGCCCATCGCCGCGTGCAGCGCGACGTCTCTGAAGGCCCGCGGGCTCCCGAGTGCTGGGCCTGGAGCTGCGGCACGGGCGGGGCCTCCCGCGCCCTGGACCTCCTCCGCGACCAGTGGGTCCAGCAGGCAGCCCAGGCCAGCGCTCCCGCACACCAGCGCGGCGCCGGTGCTGAGGACCGAGGCTACGGCAGGGGCAGCGTGATGCCGCCCTCCGCCGCCCTCTGCCGCGCTGGCCGCCGCCGCCCGCGCCAGCAAAGGAGGTCCCAAGAGGCCCCCGTGCTGCCCCCGAGAGGCCCACAAGAGTGCTCCAAGAGAAGCCCCAGGAGGCCTCCGAGACGCCCCCAAGAGGCGCCCCAAGACCCCCAGGGGCCCCCAAGATGCCAAGATGTCCTCAAGAGGATCCCAGTGGCCCCCGAGAAGTCACCAAGAGACCTCCAAGAGTTCCCCAAGAGGCCCTCAATGAGCCTTGAAGCGGTTCCCCAAGAAGCCCCCAAGAGGACATGAAGAAGCATGGCTAGGCGCCGTGGGCATCTTGGCCCCCAGCACGGCAGCCCAGAAACAAATGAGCACGGCAGACCGGCCCGTCAGACTATCACGACACCCTAGCACGTGTGCCCACAAGCACGGGAGTGTGTACAGTCAAGACGCTGAGATAAGGAACAGTTTGGGTTCGAAAGGGGCTCGATGTTCCTTAGGCTCCTCCAGTGCTGTTCCTCTTGCCCTCCTGGGGCACGGAGGCGCTTAATTAAAGGGCCAAGAAGGGGCGTCGTTCCTTATCTAGCGTGCCTTCTTTCAGCAGCCCGGCTGTAGGTCAGACCGCCACGGCAGGCTTGCCAAGGCAAAGGGAGCACGACGCACCTGCACGGCACCACCTCCCGAGGACGAGCAGGCCAGCACGGTCGACCAGCACGGCGGGCCAGCACGGCAGACCAGCCAAGAGCAAGGAGCTCGGCAGATGAGCATGGC